GGCGAAGGTTGAACGTAACTAAATAAATCCATAAAATCCCCGAGAAGCCAAATATCAGAAGGCAGTTAATGGACCAAGTCGGGATATATTTGCTGGCGATCTCGTGGTATCGAAAGGATACCGAGATCGTGCCAGGCTACAAGCTTGGTTACAGAACGTAACCGAATTCGCGCGAAGTCACAATCAAAGTATGTGAATAAGAATAGGAGCACAATATAGCTGTCATTAGCACAGTCAAACAAAAGCACATTAAACAAACACTGGTACAGTTGGTTATAATAATAATTGTTTTTGTTAAACCAGTCGTGTTCTCGTGATAAATGTGAGTCACTACAACATCAAGATCGGAAACCGCAAATGAAGGAATGACATCAACTGATGTCATGAGTAAAACATAGAGATTTTTACAAAAAAAAAAAGCTTTATCACACATTTACCCGAATCTGAAATAAAAGAATCGTACTTAAACCCGCCAAAAAAGTCATATGACGAACACAGCTGAAGACCAAATATCCTAACAGGATCCCTAGATCTTAATACATCACAAAGAACCAGATAATCCAAATGCAAAAATCACAACACTATTATGTACAGGGTTAAGAGTAAGGTCCAAGTAAACTCCGGTGATAGCTTCTCTCTTTGAAGCATTATTCTTCAGTTCATCGATCCATACGTCTGATAACACAACAATCGATATGCAACTAGTTTTCATCCATCGCACTTGTACACAACAATCGTCATTTTCTACTTTTTCAACGACAATCCAAACCGAACTCCAGCCGTTTTTTGTTTAGTCGATGATCCTTACTTTAGTGTCTATAAAAAAAAATCAGATATTCGGCACCACATTACTAGCTGATTAGTAACGATTAGGTTCATTTTATCTATTAGTTCACATGTATAACTGTATGCTGCATCATACATTACTTTCTTCTACTTGAGTATGACACCTGCTTATGTAAAAAGTACACGGATATCGTAAGGACACGAACAAAACTGTAATGTTAGCATGAGATTATGACCAAATTAATAAACGTACAAAAAATTAACATGCATTTTCGTCGTGACTGTTTGAACAATAAAGTGACACGTTCGTATGAGCGATTCAAAATACTGTGAAAACAGTAATAAGTCATTTATGTGTATGACAGCGGAATAAATCGTGCAAATAAGTAAGGTAGAATATGACGGGGACTGGTTTGTGGTTCCGACTGAATATGAGAATAAAAGACCGTGAAATATGAAGGTGTTCTAATAATCCACAGTAGAGTACGTAGTGTCGATTAGCGATTAATGTATTTGAATTCACATACATTCAGTTTATGTGGGATAAAAATAATCCAGCTTTAAAATAACTGCATTGACGGGTGATATTCGTTACTGTATTGCAACTGATAATATGAATAAAATGAGAAGTCAGTGTACTTCGTTATTTTCATCATAAACAAATGCATCGAGTTGTCGTTGAGTATGTATTGGTATATATATATATATATATATATATATATATATATATATATATATATATATATATATATATATGACCAGAGGAGAAGAATAGTGACTGCGGGGAAGAGCTATGCGTCGTATTTCTTTTTGGTCGTGAAGCCTAGCACGGATTATGTCGTTAGAGGGATATACTCTCGAACTCGTTTGTGAACTAACGGATAAGATGAACCTAATCGTTACTAATCGGCTAGTAATGTGGTGCCGAATATCTGATTTTTTTTTTAGACACTAAAGTAAGGATCATCGACTAAACAAAAAACGGCTGGAGTTCGGTTTGGATTGTTGTTAAAAAAGTAGAAAATGACGATTGTTGTGTACAAATGCGATGGATGAACATTAGTTGCATATCGAGGACATCAGTTCCTACTATCTGAAGTATGACACTAAACTTATGTCTGTAATAGAGTTGCTAAGCGTTACCAGCGATGGGCTACTTGCGACCATGCCGTTATCAGCGTGTGGGAGGTTCTCTCGACTGCTTAGACTGACGACTCGTGTACATGCGCATGTCGCTGGACCTTCAATTTGCTTAGCAGGTTGTTCGGTGTACGAGCAGCTAGTAAATATGTCGGAAATATATGACATGTTATAGTCATATACCCACAAAAGTGAACGATAATAATTAAGCCATTGATGTGATAAATGATCCAGAACAACATAATTTAATAATGAGTCTATGATAATTATTTGAGTCATAATGGAATGATCCGCCAGATGGATCAACAAGAAGAGGTGACACGAGGACGAATTGTCGATAAGATAATGAGATTCGAGCATGTCCATATCGCTGATGTACCGGCTCCGATTAATGCGTTGGACTAGAGATTGAGTAGCTCATCGATTATGGCAGACACTTCGTCCACGTATTGGACGCGTAGAGTTCGAGATATTCACCTTCTGCTTAGATTTGCAGGGTGCGTTTAGTTCGAAGTCGGGTTTACCAGTCTAGAGGTGCCGTGATCTCTCTCTGATTTGACCACATGGTCGAAAACTGCGTTGTCTGTCGATTGAGCTAGTTCACTGAGTTTGTATGTCGAAGGAATGGAGTGCTGAAGGTTCTTCATCGACGTAGTTTGCTGCCTTAGGTTGTTCGTTAGTGGGCTCACCAATTTCCTTGCCCGAGATCTGACTCTAATTTGATCGTTTCTGATTGTTATTGAAATACAGATGTCGTCTATCCTCCTATATGATAATCGACTTAAATCGCGTTGGTGAATAACGGAGCTAAACAAATCAAATACAAGAATGGATTTTTGAATACGTATATTTTGTACACTCATTGATTCGGACAGACAATCAAAAGGACGAAGCGAAATGACACGCAGTGGAGAAGGCTTGTGAGCCAACTCGATTTAATCAAGCGTCAATCATTATTTATAGCCAGATAAAAATAAGCTACAGACATGTGATGAGTAAGATAGGAAATGAACACACGCTCATCTAAAACAGAATAAACAAACCAATAAGTGGAAAGATCAAAATGTGGTTTAAGATGAATGAATAGATTGGCTTGTCCTGAAGCCAGAATAAACTATGTGGGTTTAAAATACCGTATAACGTTACACCGTTCCCCACTCAGTAAACTGAATCCGTCTGGGGGAAGGTGCACGTTAAAGGGACCATGCGCTGATTATTTTACTATAATAACTGAAGTTAGTATATATCCGTTTATAGATTCATGTTTACAAATATTGAGTGGGTAAACATTTGGTAATTTAAGATACGTCTATATGCCGCAAATATCAAAGTTTGTTGTGCGTTACATGGATAAAGTGGGCTGTTGATAGATATATTAATTTAGGACGACACAGCCTAAGAATCATACTCACCTCCCCTCATACTTTGAAAGTAGGATGTCCACCATTAACCTTTTAGGCTCCAAAGTCAAAAATAACTCAACCAATAACAAAGTTTGTCTAATTTTATACTACATTTTGTGCATATGAAATATACAGTTTTATTAGTTTAATATCTACCATCATTCCATAAACGAGACCACCCACTCTCAACAACCTGAAAGAAACCTAGACACACACCACAATAATAAAACACTAAAACCAACTGCCTCCTTATAAACATTCCCCTAAAACAAAATAAAAATTGTAAACAAACACCGAATAAACACAGTAAATAAAAAAATAATAATAAACCATAACCCTGACACTAAAAACAACAAAACAGATATAACAAACTTAACTGCCACAAATAAAAATTCAGTGGGCTCTCAATACATCCAAGTAACCTACTGATAAAACAAGTCAACTCCACTCACCATTTCTATCTTTAATTGAGTCAATATGCCTTGCATCCCACTTAAAAACGCACTTCAAAATAGTGGTCTATACAACTTGACCCACCATAAAATGATGAAAATAACTTCCTACTGTTGCTTTCACTGCACGTGAATAACTATACCTAAATAATACTCACAATTACCATAACCCTCTCACATTCTACCCCACACATATAAATTTCACATTCATTATATATATCCATTTCTGGCAACTAAAACAATTTTTAAGTCCAAACACCTGGATAGCCTTCCTCTACATTTTATCACTCCGCCCTATCTAGTATTTTAACCACCATATATGACTTTCTTTATTTTCAACAATTTTATAACCTAAAAATAACATCAAGTGATATGAACTATAACCTTATTTACCCTAATTGAACGCCTAATTTTTTAAAAAAAACACATTAATTTCCACAATTTTGTAATGGGGGACGCTTGCAACTTAACAACCGTACTCTCCATCTGCTTGAATACTGACTAACAGCTTACATAACCTTTACTGAATATGGCATCAAAAAAAACCTAAAATACATAAACCTTACAATAAAGGTAAACCTTTGAACAAACTAATAAAACAAGCCTATAATCTTAAACCAGTAGCTAAATGGATAACATGATAGAGTTTGAAGCGAACGGTACTGTGTTCGGGTCCCCGAGTGAACATCAACCCTGGGATGCATGTGCATCCAGCTGACGAGTCTCGAATAGGACAAAATGTGCGTCCTGGATTCCAGTGCTAGACATTATCCATGTTTGCTTATAATGTTTGTAACTTAAGGCAATCCGCACAGGATGCACATATGCTAATAAGAGGCTGATCAATTGCATTCTTTAACATCAATGGGATGATTCAACACAAACGAATACGAAACAAATCCAACCAATTTAAGTTTTCCGTACCAATAACCGGAAAAAGTATAAATCATTAAATGTAGGTATTTCTTAATCTTTTTACTGTTTGTCTAACTGATCAGATGATATATATAACCATTATCTTCGAATTTTTTCTCCTATTAATTGTCGATAGTTTCATAACTAAGTCGTATCTTTGTGCAATATATTTTAAATATTTCAATTAAAAGCAAAGTAATTTAATGTTTTACATGTGCTACAATATTATAATTTATAATGTTTCATTACATGAATATCATATATGTTTTGATCTTTATTACTTATATATGTATTTATCCGTTAGCATTTGTCAACGATGTATACGTAAAATGGATCACCATTGTCCATGGGTAAATAACTGTGTCGGTGAAGGTAATCAAAAGTACTTTGTTTTATTCGCTGTAAGTAATGGTACTGATTGTTTGTATTTCTTTAATGATTAAAAATTAATTGTTCAATTAAGTACTATGATTATTCTATGATCTTATATTTTTATTGAGGATTAATTATAAGTTGGACAAAATATTTCTGATTAACACTTCTTTCCTAACTTGGTTCTTTGCTACATAATAGGGTTATTAACCCTATTCCCGATAATCCTTATTTATTTGGGCTTGAAACAGGTAGTAACCTTAGAAGGGCTCGAGGCAGAGTTTAGATAGAATATACACAATGTTTCTTCCTCATAATTCTACTCATTATTTTTTTCTCATGAAAAAACGGACTAAAGCATTCTCTCTAAGATATATTAATGTGAATTTAAAAACTCTTTTAACTAATAATTATCACTGAATTATATTATCCGATACTACTCTCCTAGTATGTCACTGAACCATTGTGTTAGATTATATTATAACTGGATAAATATTAGAAAAGTTGGACTTTTGGAATTGTCCTAAATGAAGTTACTGTTTCTTTATTTTCGTTTTTTAATTACTGAATGCTAAAATTATTTCGTTATTGTATTCTCCTGCTTGTAGACTTTGTCGTGTTATATAAATTGTTATTGTTGTATTTTGTATCATTTTTAAAGTCACTGTTAATTTATTACCAACCTATTACTCAGTTCTCTTCCAATTATAACGTAACGACGTCTTCATTGTAATTTCTTAATCATGTTGATATGTAGTCAGATTTTTATTTTTAAATTGTTATGAGTTCGCGTCATAATTGGATTAAGCACAATAAGGAGTTGATCTGTTTCTACCTTCGTCTTCTGTTTGACCATTAAGTCGAACGTACCTCAAGGACCAATAAGTGTCAATATCGTACTTGTCGTTCATTGGTCAATATGTTAATTGGTAGATGGAAGGTCACCAGTTCTATTGGCAAGAGAGATGTTATACACCTGTCTTCCTGTCATTACGAGCCGACTACATAAGACCCAAGTAAACAACCTGCTGTTTTACTTCCGATATAACTAATTCATTAAATGAAAATCTCTAAAAATTGTGCGTGAAACTTCAAGAATCAGAATGACAAATATAATCACTAATTATAGTACTGCAGGTTATATTCTTCCTGACTGATATTGTTCGACGTAAAATCAATTTTAATATATATACATATATATATGTATAATGTATAACTTCTCAATGATATCCCAAAGTTGTTAAGTGATCCAATGTATCTAACATTTTGAACATTTCCACAGTTGAATTCACGAGTCAATGTAAGCTAGACCACCATTGAGAACCTGGAAGCACTGGACGGCCGTTTTTTTCTACTACTGGATTCCTCAGAGTGCACATCCACGATCTCTCACGTAGGACTCGAGCCTAGGACCTTCAGTCTCGCGTGTGAATGCTTAGCGTTTAGACCACTGAACCGGCATCTAAAGGTGTTAATGTGTAACTTCAATCAATCCATGATCTTTCGTAAACCTTTAAATTGACTCGTGAATTTAACTGTGAAAATATAACAATCTCTGCATGTCCCCATACTTCAAATATTGTTAAAGAATTTTATCTATTTGTTACGATAAAATATAAAAGTAATTAAATTCTCAATTCTCTTTTTTGTTTCCTGAATGACCTCATATCTGGTTTAATTAAGTGATAATAACAAAATAAGACCGTCATTAATTAATTAATTATCAGTTGTCATTTAGTTCTTTTCTGTTTTATTACTTTTCAGTTTTATATTTGTCTAATGTCATTTACTGCTATTGGAATGTGTATTTATTTTCTTTTGCAATGTTTGGGTTCCGAATGGGAGGGTAAGTTGTAGTAGTAGCAGAAGTAGTGGTAATATTAACAACTTCACATATCAGTTTACTTTACCTTGTAATATTTTCATTTCTGTATTTTTGACTTTTTGGTGAGACTATAATTTATGGACGACCTTTGAGCGACGCTAAAAAAAGTTTAACAGTGTCCACCTACATACTACAGTTGAATGAGATTTATAAACCAGTGTGAAGAATTAGGATTATTATTATTATTATTATTAGCTTTATTCAATATTATATTTTTGGTACATTATAGAATTCTCAGCGTAAAGTATTTCAACAAGTTCCCGTTTCTTTCTTCTTGGTCGGTCCTGGAGATTAATATTGAGTGATCGCCAGTGAGATGTTAGCAGTTCAGTAAATGAACATCTGAATAATGTGCATTCTTTTCGCTGTATATTGCCAGCAACCACATTGTCTCTTATTGAGTTTTTTGTAACTTTGACAACGAAAGGTTGTACACTTTTCAGAAACGCAGCAGAATAGGTTATGCGATTAATAAACATAATGATATATTAAAACAAACAAACAAAAATAGATAACTTATTGAAATATCTAGATGGCAGGAACAGGTAGCCCAGATGCTCAAGCAGGCCGCTCTTTATGATGGTTAGGTTTAGGAATTAGATTTAGGGTTTTCATCACTAACTGACATAAGCTAAAACGCCATTTAGCCAAACAGATGATTGAATTTCACACCAAAATCCAAGACCTGTCATTCTAAATCTGATTGGTTTGGTCATAAATTAAAATGTCAAAAAGAGAACTATTGAAGAATAATTCATTGACAATTATTATTATTAGTTAATTTTATATGTGAATTATTGAAAGGGATTTGTTATGCAGTCAGATACTAAGTAAACTACTCACTCAAAGTCCCCCATTTGCAATTATATTTACCAGATGACTTACAAAATTAATAGAACATGTCCTTGGTAATTCCTTTATAATGGCTAAAAAGTGCTAAATCAGCTCCCAATGAAAATCTCCTAAGAACATCTGAAGAAATGAAGAATCATGTGTCATACTTGTACTGAAAAATTATCTATTTTGTTTGATATATTCTCAGGACTTTCTATAAAGTCAGAGTCATCCAAAAATTTTCCGTATAGAAAGTACCCTTGAAAATGAAGTTTCTGTTATTATTGCGTACTTTTTGAGGAACTAGTAAACAATTAAAAAACCATTATCGAAAATTCGAGCACCAGGTGGATCGAATTTAACTCAATCAGAACTGAACTAATAACAATAATCAATATGGGGATTTGTGAAGATTGTAAAATTTTCTCAGTTGAATTCACGAATCAATCTAATGTAGAGCACCATTGAAAACCTGGAAGCACTGGACGGCCGTTCTGTCATAATGCGGAACTCATCACCAATGTCGGTTAAGTGGTCTAGAACTTAAGCGTTCGCGCACGAGACCGAAGGTCTTTAGTTTAAGTCCCACATGAGGAATCATAGATGCACATACTAAAACAAAAAGGACTGTTAAGTGCTTCGAGGTTTTCACTGATGGTCTAGCTTAGATTGACTTGTGGATTCAACTGTGAAAATAACTAACAGTGATAATAGTAAAATTTACGATAAAATAAACTTCACCTATCAAAACAGTATATTTAAACATTCACGTTCAAAAGAAAATCAATTTCTGTTATTTCTGCAGTAAAGATGACTACAGAACACAAGAGAATATTTATTTTATAACATTTTACAAAACAATCAATTTTACAGACTATACATATATTTGTAAATAACAGTTTAATTTTCACAATTACTGACTGAGGTAATTTAATTTTGGTTAAATCGCAATCTTGACATTTAGAAGAGTTACATTTACAGATTAATGAATTGCTTTTCCCGTTTATCGTTTATTCATTGTTCAAACTATGAACTATTAAAACAATGAGTGAAATTTTCTATCGATCTCATTAAACCTTTTGATAAACTAGTTCGAAAATTGTATAGAAAAATACCAATGAAACAATTAATGAAGTGATAAATTGTTGATTTAAACCCTGTGGATAATTACAGATAATATTGTCCGAGTATGTGAGATAATCGTCAGTCAGTCAGCTACAACGTAGGACAAGGCATATATATGCATCAGTCCAAGTCGCCACACATCATTAACACAAAAAGATGAACACCTAATTCATAGAAGTAGTTACTTCACTGGTAGTAATGTATAAAAGAGATTATGCCAAAAAAATATTGATCAAGTGTACCCCCTGACGTCAACGGGAGGATTCAAACAGCTAATTCAAATGAGTTAAGGTGCATATTTTCTGTGCTTGATATTTTTTACGATCGTTGGTTTTTTTAACTTCTTTCTTATTTATTTTCGTAAGTTTATCTTGATGCGCTGATATTTTATGAAAATTGCTTGACGATTTATGACATGAAAGTATCTAGCATAGTCCCCAATTTTTCAGTGATGGCTGATATGTTGTTTATCATATGTTGACAATGTTTTCATCTAATAATCATTGTTACTGGTAAATCGATTGATGTGAACATTTGTTTTTATTATTTTTCAATTTTCTTTCAGTTTGTCAATCAAATCAGAATGTTATTATACTAGGCAATTTTAGTTCATTAGCGTGCAGTGCATTTGCCCTAGGATTGATATGTGAATCCTTGATGTTCGGTATTTTCACTTTAGTTATGTGCATCAGTCAATTGTGCGCTATTTCAAATGATGAAACAGTAAGTTATATGCACCTACTCTCTTATATTAATAATCATAGTTATAATGAAACTCCCTATTCAATTTAATGTTTTTATCTCTTTGCAAATTTATACTGATAATGTTATGTAGATAAACAGTGTTAGCTTCACATCTAAACTGTCCGACTCGGGGAATGCGAATCTACCTTAAGAAGTTCATTTAATAATAAGATGTTTAAGTCACACTTATTATATAAAGTTGCTTAGAGATACTGACCAACTGTTGTTTGTAATGCCTATCACCCACTACATCCAACATATCGCTTTATAAATATTATGCATATCTTTCAACATCATATATGAAGTATAGCTAATCTGCTACTTCTCTTATCAATTAAAGTTAGAAGAGCTTTAATTAACGAAAATTTGTACACTTTTACCCCTTAACATTACATAATCTGTTATTTCAAATCATATCATTCGTGTAACGTTGCTACTTTCAAACAATAATTCTGGACGTTGATTAAGTGTGATTTGGGTAGTCTCTTTATATTGACTATTATCTGAATATTCTAGGTTAATTTTCGACTTACAATACATCTAATCGTATCCTAGTAACAATCTTTTAACCTTATGTTCGTTATATATATCGAACAATCTCTTACTCCAAATAGGTGGAATATCCGATTTGTAAAGAGGTCTACACCAGGTTAACTTTCCGATAAAGATTCTGCATTTATATGTAAAAAGAATAACATTAGGTCATGTGTCTTTTGGTGCTTTATTATTCTCACTTTCTTTCGATTCTCTCCTTTTTTATGTAGGTCGACACAAAATGTTCATAGTGTATGCAATATTTTGAAGGGAATTGCAGAAGCTTAGCACTAAAATACTGTCTAAGTACTCTATCCAACATTCCAACTGTATTCACTGTTTATAAAAATGCCATTTAATCCAATGTTATTATTTGCTTGAGTAAAGATGAACAGTTGCTAGCGATTTGTAGACGCATCAATCTCGCTTTCACGATATTTATGTGAATATTACACAAAAATTCCTACTACAGAACTTAAGCTTATTGTTGTACTCATAATCTTTCAAACTGCATTGATATCTATCAATCAGTTTTAAGTGATCCCTTATATAATACTTCAATCAATGTTTTCATTATATCTTGTAATTACAAACAATCTTCATCTACACTTTTAGTGAAGTGACAACTAACCTTTAGTCTAGATTCATCTGTTATTTAGTTTGTAATTGTCGGTACAAACTATTCACTTTGATTAGTTTTAATCAAGAAAAAAGTGTTTGACAAATAAAAATCAGAAACGTGTTGGCAGAAAAAGATGTCAATTATAAACATATTTGATCAGTTAATGGAAACTAACCATAAACTGCGTAATACTTACTTACTTACTTTCGCCTGTTACTCCTAATAGGCCGCCGAACAGCCTTCTCCAACCCACTCTGTTCTGGGCCTTCCTTTCTAGTTCCATCCAATTCTTGTTCATTTCTCTCATGTATATTTCCATTTCCCGGCATAATGTATTCTTTGGTCTTCCTCTTCTCCTTTGGCCTTCAGGATTCCATGTGAGGGCTTAAACTGCGTAATAATTCACTTGTTATTAGATACAATTTACGAGTACATATTATAAATGTTATGCCCTATAGCCCATCAATTACCACGTAATAAGATCGCCAATCAGAACACCGACTTTGGTTCTGTACCAAATGCATGACGCGTTAACTAGTACGAGCAGCCTAGAGTCAATTATGAGTCCTTATCGCTTCTTCGTGCCTTACCATGCTCATTTGAGTCCAGAACGCAATCCCAGCCTCTACTGTATCGATCATGTATTTCAAACATCATAAAATAGAAAATAACAATAATACAAGATCAAGCCAAAATGGCTGTGATTGTGAGAGACTGTAACTAATAGATCGGGAACAAGTTAAGAATGGTAAATCGCATTACAATAGCCAATAGGTCAAACGAAGTATATATATTAATAACCCTTTTTTTTACCCTGGTTGTTGTCTCAAGATCTCTCGAATATCGTCCATAAATTATAGTTTCACCTGTATTTTGCTTATAACTAACATTAATATTCCATTTTATGTTTAATGCACCTTTCTAATTATTCCTCTTTTCTTCACTTTTTTTTAAAAAAAAAAGGGAATTGAAAATATTAAAAAAGAACAGTCATCATGGGAGAAACAATCAACCAGGAAAAACTTTATCAAAGCGTTTGGTGCACCATTTTCATGGCGATGGTTTAGTCCATTCTCAGCACCTTCATTTGTTCCAACAATATTACCAGGACTTCCAGATGATGTCAATTTAACCAATATGTTATATTTAGCTGAACAAAATGCAACTCGACAAAATACAAGTGAATTTCAGTCAGATTTTAATCAAATTGGATATATTGTTTGAAAGATAATTACTTCTTCTTTCTTTTTTTCTGTTTTCTATAATCTTATCATTGTGAGAAAAAAACGATGAGTTCAGTTTTAATCTTTGTATAATGTAATACTCGCAGAATTACCTCTATACTAGATTCATATAATCGTAATGTCTCCCTTGGGTATATATCCTAAAATTATTGACATCGTAGTGTTACTTGTTTGTTGATAGGGTTATGTAAATACAAATATTGATCTTCATTGAATGATATCATCAAGGCCTATATCATGATTTAGACAAAATATACTGAAAGGTGAACACAAGAATACAGATTTTTTCAGATCATATTTTTAAAATTTATAGCATAACCAAAACGAATAAGATTAATTAATAAGCAATACTGACGTAGACAGATATAAAAATTATAAGAATAGTTACCTACCTAAAGAATGTGAAATAGATACATCTGTACTTGTGACTAAAACACAGTGTTTACACGCGACTTCAAGTCTCCATCTAAATTAAATCCACACAGTTCATTTGACGGGTTTGTGAAGCACTCTTATATATCCACTGTTAATTAATACTAATATAACTTCTGTTAATACCATTTAGTGAATCATTACGAATATAAGAACTTGTAAAGATTGTGTACCGGTTCCAGTTCCCATATATCATATCAGTAAAGCAATAGAAGATAGTATAAGAATACAGTCAGCCACAACGTAGGACAAGGCATATATGTGCATCAGTCCAAGTCCCAGCACATCATTAACACAACAAGATGAACACCGAATTCATAGAAGTAGTTACTTCACTGGTAGTAATGTATAAAAGAGAGATTATGTATAAGGATATAGTACAGGAAGAAAGAATTAGTTGGTAGACAGAAAGGTATAAAGTAATTTTAACCTCACGGTTTAAGTGAAGACAAAAAGTGCATACACCTACGCGATTGTGATCGATTCTGAACCATGTCAGCCAGAGTCTCCAACGATTGGTTAAGATAGTCACGTGGTCTGCATTTACCAACATGTCTCACACTAGAGGTTAGTGACTTCAATGACTGATGCCACGTTTTGGTCTGGCCACCCCTAACTTTCTTCCAACCGTCTCCGACATCGTCAGCATTGCACGTCGTGGTAATCGGTGTTCGGGCATACGCAACACGTGGCCCAACTATCTCAGTCATTGAAGATTCACAACTTTATCAACTGATTTACCATCATTCCATAATACCCTGCGTCTAACTTCACTATTACTTACCTGGTGGTCGCAGCAGATGCGAGCAATATTTCTAAGGCATCTGTGGTCGAATGTTGGCAGCTTACGAGTGTCTTCTACTCTTAATGGCCATGTTTCGCTGCCGTAAATTAAAACAAAACGAACTGCCGCTCATTATACTCGTCCTTTTATTGATAGACGGATATCTTGCCTTCGCCATAGGTGACGTAAATTGGCAAAAACCAAACGAGCTTTTCGAATCCGTGCTGAGATTTCGTCAGACACCAACCCATTAAGGCTGATCAGACTTCCAAGATAAGTGAAGCTGTCCACGCGTTCGACTACTTTACTCCCTATCCTTAGTTCAGGTGTTGACGCAGGTCAGTCCTGAAACAACAGTTTGTATTCAGAGGGAGAGAAGCGCATTCCAAACATCCTGCAATTGTTGCTCTGTGCTGCCAAAAGACTGGATTTTATCAGTCTTCACCAAACAAAATTGTCACTGCGTATTCTAATTCGATAAGTGAACCTCCTGGTAGACCAATGGTGTTCCGATTTTGGGACTTGTCGAGTGAAGTAGTGTCCAAGAATACAAACAATAGCTGGGTCGTAATAAGAGAAATTATAACATACGTCTATGATGAAATTGAACAAAAACGGAAATAGTGAACAGGTTGCAAAATCAGATGACAGTTCGCCATAAACTCTGACTCGACTCCTAGTGTTTGAGTAGAGTCTTCACAAAGTTTATGTACTTCTGACGTGCATCTTTCAATGACAGAAACTACCTCGGTCAAAAACTAACATTGTCGGACGCCGATAAGCATGCCTGTGTTGTAAAACCTGACGAATGGTGAATATGTGGTCGATGCAGCCATGACCAGGTCTAAAGCTAGTCTGATTTTCTCGTGTTTGCAGTTCATAAGTCTTTGTTACGCGTCCGATAATTATTGATAATAATAACCGACTGGTGGGAATATAAGAGTATGAAATCTTATTTCGTTTAGAAGAATAATAACCCGGATATAAGTAAACCATTGTATCCGAGTTCGTTTAAGGTCTTTAGCCAATCCCTATTAGAAATTCTACACAGATTAATCAACAATCTAAAATTTGATGCAGTCTACAGATCGTTAGCCAGCAATGAGCTGAGCATAGTTCTCACTCAATTAGCTAAAATTCACAACATCAACTGATTCCATTCATTTAGACCACACACTCAATGTTGTTTGCTTGTTAGTTGGGTTAATATAACTAATAAATACTTCGAAGGCACCTATTAATCGAACATTTGACAACCTTTCTGTATTTGCGTTGAGACATTAATAATTACTGAAGGAGAGTGGTCAGAGTTCAGGTTAGACTCCGGTATACAACAGTAACAAGATCATTCTCTATTTGTGTAGAGAGTAAATATAGAATCACAAACATTCGTAAATCATGTTTGGAAAACTACATTTTGCTACAGTCAATATCAAATAAGGATTACGCCATCTTGATGACCAAAAAATCTAGATGATGAACGTACCATTGTGGTGTGAGCTACTTATATTCATATAAGTAGTATATAACGTGCGTTGAAAGAACGTAATGTCCGGCAGCAGAAGATGGCGAAGATCAAGAAAGGAAGAGCAAGAGCACAATGGAATTGTAAGAAAACGCATGTACAATGGAATGGGAGACAATGGATTAGTGTTTGCAACGGGAGCAGTACAGTTTCATATGATGGAATGATATTTTGCAAATTGACGATTGACTTTATGGTATTCACATTTTATTGAGATAGTCTGTAATCTTTGTGCTAAATACAGTCGATTGTCCCCACCCGTGTTCTTGTTCACTACACCATTAAAGCACATTCATATTTAAGTCGAAAAAAAGTAGCATTTTCAGACCAGTCATGATGAAGGTTAGCTAGAAGAAAAAATCACTGTAACCTCTGACAGAGTTACTGGTCTTCGACTAAAGAGCGGTTAGCTTGGTAGTGTATTTATTTGGTACATGTTTGTTAAAAAAACTGTAGATCAGTGTGATACAATTTCAAGAACTGTCGTTACATTCGAACTTCAGTAAGTCCATCTATGTGTGAGAACATGAAGGATGAATTTCAGTTTCAACAACCTTGATTAGATTGAATGCATAAAAGATTATAGATGACAGTAGGCAGCTAATAGTCACAATTACACTACTCAATATGGTTTACTCCTTATTTCAATATTTGATTTCATATTAATATATGCTAATCTAAAGTTTTCTACATTTTGTAGTGCTACAAATAATCATATATAAATCATCTCAAATACACTGATTTTCAGAGCATGAAATAAAAGTGCCCCCGACAGATGAAACAATATTCCTTCTATTGTCATCTTAAAGAATAAATGCTACCAAGCAAGAATGAATATATATATATATATATATGTATATGTATAAAGGGAAATCAAATTAAATAAAAATTACATCGTATGTCTGTAAGAGATGAGGGGGATGGGGATAAGGTCAAGACTTTCCTGGCAGGAAGTAATGCTAATTGGTAATTAAATCAGGAGTTGAAATAAAAAGGAACGATAAATACTACAAATAGGAATTTTTAGAGCTAATCACTGTATACAGTGGTGATAGTAGTAGTAGTAGTAGTATTTATCGTCCTTGTGTACAGTGATTAATTTTTGAATCTTGCGGAATCTGCGCTTAAACACTACTATAGTAAATCATCGAGCCAATGTAGTAATAAGTTCAGTACACATTTCGAAAAATTCCATTGTTTGGTGTCGTTTAGTTCTTCGGTTAATCGGTACTTCTTGACAATTAGCTGAAAACGATCGAGAAAATTCAGTTGTATTTGGACCATCGTAGCAATTGGTTGGACTAGCAGATCCAGTGCTACCGGAAAAACTACCATCTCTACTACATGTTGAAGTACCCATAGCAGCTGGAGGAGCTAAAAGCAAAAGTAGGTACAGAAATTATGTGACTATCAATCTGACTAAAATGTTTCTAAAAAAATATGACATAAGTAGAATATACTGCCTATATATATATATATATAGTTCTAAAGTTTCCCGCCTATAATCCGGTTGTGAACAACTCATTACTTTATTTATTTTGTTTGTATCAGTTCCGCTTTACTTCAGTTTCTCAAGAATGTTCCTCTTATTACTAATCTCACTATTTTCTTATCTTCTCGATGTGTTGATGCAAAGCACATCGACTTGTGCGAACTAACATTCGTCTTAGAATCTACATGTTGTATATTTTTTAATCCATAATAACATTACAATGTCTTTAGTATTATTGTGACTATTATTGCTTAATACCACCGATAAATAAAAACACTAAAAAGATATATGGTCGAAACTTACTTCCACTACAAGCATCAAGGCATACTGACATATTGTTTGAACGTAGTCTACCCATCGCTGTTTCAGATTCTAATTGACTTTCATCGATACACTTAAAATCGAGGAGATATGATCTTGCATCGACCTGTGAACGTAAAATGTCACCATTAAAACTCATTAGAGTAAATAATTTGAAATAAAAAACAAGTATGGATACTAGTAAATTTATTTATACTAGAATCTTTCATTTCAAATACGATGTGTGACGTTTAGTACATGGAGTTGAACTTCCATCTCTAGAATCGAGACGTATATTGGATTTAATTATCTACATTCTAAAAGATTGTTATATTCCTATGTCCAATATGCCAAACCATATGGTATGTTTAATAAAAAGTTACCTATTTATACCAGTAGTAATCACCACTTCTACACCAAACTACAATACTGTTCGTCATAAAAAGTAGGGTGGAAGAAAGCCAAATTTAGTATTAGTTCAAAGTATTAGATCAAGGAAGCGACTAATATCGGTATGTAAGTTTGGCCTTATTTATTAGATCTAACGATGAAATCATAATTTGTAGTTGTAAGTCATATACGAGATAGTTTGAAATCAATGGTAGAGGTTTAGTAACATTCATTTTTTTATCTTTTGAGTGATGATAATCCAAAATCTTCAAATATCGACTTCAGAAGCCTGGGTATGTTTTCATATTGTGCATTACTTCCTGATTCTATGACTAAGTGGATGAAGTTGAGGCGTGATCAGCTTGTAACACGGTCCCGTGGTATGAAAGATAGTTGTATAGGAATGGTATTTGTGGATTCCATGATTCCCTTTATTGAAGTAATAGAGATCATGAAGCTCAGTAGCTTGAGGAATTGTTAGAATGGAAGTCAGTAGCAATAATGACTTAGTTTTCTATTAAATTCTTTGTAAAAGTGAGATCCACATCCTTGATTGAATGAAAAGCATACTTTTGATGTTCTGTTACACTAAGTGTTTTGTAAGATAAAAGAAAAACCGACTTTATTTAAACCCTGAGCATACATCTGTTAATTTAGGTTCCTTGAACCACTTCAAGCCTTTTTTTAGAAACAATAAGCATTTTTTTCTTGATATTACATAGAAAATACAGGCTATATTCTCGTACATGGTTTTTAGCGTGGCAGTAAGCCCGACTAAACAAGCACTTGGCATCACTGTTGACAAAGTGCCTGGTTGGTTCAGATTACCTTGTCAGTATCCACGAAATAATTGTGACTAATACTCGGAGAACATTGGTAATATGATTCGAAATCAGTTGCAATGAAGCAAATACATTTATTCATCACCCTCACCTAGACCATGAATTTCAATATTAGGATATTTTACTCCCATATATTCTCTATACCTGATATATATTTTAAACTATTATTAATATTATCAAAATGGGGATTTGTGGAGATTGTGGTATTTTTAACTGCTGAATTCATGAGTCCAATCCGTATCGGGTGGAGACAGGTATCTATCTCCGACAATCGATGAAGAGTTGAGCAATATCATGGATCGATTGAAGTTAGACATTAACACCGTTGGATGCCGGCTCAATGGTCTAGAGGTTAAGAGTTCGTGCACGAGACCGAAGGTCCTGGATTCGAGTCCTGCATGCGGGATCATAAATGCGCACCGCTAAGAAGTCCCATACTAGGACGAAACGGCCGTCCAATGCTTTCGGGTTTTCACTGGTGGTCTAGCTTAAAATTTACTCATGAATTCAACTATTAATATTATTGATACTACGAATTTTTTTGCCTACTTATCTTATAGTGCTAATATCGTGTGGTCAACTTGAGCCAATGTTGCACATTTGTGCTGAGTTCGTGATTAACTATTTATGTAAATTTTTTAAAAAAAGATTATCAACATTAATTATCATCTTGAATAAACAAATCATAACCAACAATAAATAAAGACTTTTAAAGACAACTATTTTTTGAACAAGAATTATATACCATATGTATTGATAAGCATTAAAGAACTATACATATTCATATAACAGTGTTAAAAAGCCATAATAACCAACTAACCTGATAAAGTTGTAATACAAGTCGAGAATAATGCTGTAGTATTGGATTCCATTTTCTTACACGTACATTAAACGGATTAACAACTTTCCATTCATAACCAAGTGAATTCATTGCTTTAAATACTTCATGCATAATATCCCATGGTCTTGATTGAGAACGTATACCTAAATGCCATTTAAAACGTTTCATTCCACTGGCCGCTGCAGCTCCCGATGTAATAGCTGATTGTGCTTGAGAAGAAATTTGACTTGGACAATTCAAATCACCTGTAACAATTGATCCAGGTGTCTATAATTAAACAAAATAGGAATTAAAATAATAAATTATTGTACATTAAAAATTGATTCGGAAGCTAGAAATCTGAACAATGTTTAATTTCAAATGAAATAAACAAGTTACAATTTGCAAACAACCGAAATAAAGAATATTTAAAATTTTAGAAACGATAGGCAGAAATATATGGCGTACCTAACAACGATAGTGAAGTTACAAAAGAAGGAAGTATGAGGCAACTATATGACAGAACGGCCGAGAGTGGGGAGAGTCCGCTCTCCCTCTCGAAATGCTCTCACACGGCCACGCGTATATAGCCTCTGCCAGGGAAGTCCTACTCACTGCCTTCTCGTGGCGGGGGTGTTGTTTACGAAAATGAGAGGACGAAAAGCGAATGTCCGGCGCTTTAACCAGATTCAAAACCAATGGTGCACATGGGCTCCAGTATCCTACGGGAACAAATGGCGTATGAACCAATTGTTGGTCACCGGCTTCCATGGGACTGCATCTCCTTACGATGCTCCACTGCCTTGTGGATCAGACCTTCAGGTCGAAGGCTCGGGGTGTGGCCCCCTAAGAAAACCACCTGCTTCGGTTTGGGCACCCGGGCAGTATCACAGCCCTCATACATATCGAATGAGATTTGTGTGGCGCATATGTATTTGGTGCCTCTTCTTACCATTATGTATGTGTTGAAATAAATAAATAAATGACAGAACGAAGAGGCAAGCAGAAAAATAAAGTAAACCAGAACTACCAGTCAAGAATAAAGAAAGCAAACTAATCTCTGATATTCAAGAACACTGGGACAAGTGGGAAGACAACTTGGAAGAGCTTTTGAATAAACCAACCTCAACACAGGACACCGAAACAGCACCTACGGACCTTCCTATAGCTGTTACCTACCAACATTCGAGGAAATAAACAAAGTCGTCAAGCAAATCAAGAGTGGGAAAGCAGCAGGACCAGACAATATACCAGGTGAAGCACTAAAGCCAGACACAGAAGTAACTCCAAACACGCTCCACATTCTATGCACAAGGATGTGGAAGTAAGAACAAGTGTCGACAGACTGGAAAGAAGGAATGTATCTCACTGTTATCGGTACCAGGAAAAGTTTTCAAGTGTTGTTGAGTCGGATGAAAGATTTAATAGACGCACAACGCCGAGGATCGGTCGTGTACAGACCAAATAGCAAAAAAACCAATAATCGTTGAACAATCAATTGAATAGAACTCGTCACGATACATCAATTTCCCTGACTATAAAAAAGCGTTTAAGAGCGTGGATAGGAAAGCCTTATGAAAGCTTCTTCGACACTGGTGCACTTGAGATCGTCAGCATCATACGGAATGCACCAACCACATCGGTGTATACACTCCTTGTCTTCCCTTAAACTAAGAGATTAAAATCACTTCATATCTTTCTTTCTACGAACCAATTCTTTCTTCTTGTACTATATCTCTATAAGCAATCTTTCTCTTATATATTACCAACTTTGACCTAACCACTGCTATGAATCCGGTGTTCATCTTGTTGTGCTGATGCGGTATGGCAACCTGGTCCGATGCACATATGTGCCTGGTCCTACGTTGTAGCTGACTGACTGACTGAACCACATCACATTAGATGGGGAGGCTCTGGAAGAGGTGGAAACTCGCATACCTTGGCAATATCGTTGATTAACAAAGGGGACTTGATGCGACCGTTCAGATATGGATTGGCAAACGGTCGCATTCCACAAATGAAAAACATCTTAAACTCAAAACAACTGCCAACCAATACCAAAGTCAGAATTTTCAATACGAACGTCAATATAGTTCTGTTGTATGGAACTGAAACTTGGAGAACAACCACAACCATCATCAAAAAAGCATTGGACAGCTATCCCGTTTTAGTCAGCTGAATGAAATTGGACCTAGAATCTTTAAATTTCGAGGCAAAAGATATTCTATTTAACCACCGAGTTAAGCACTGTTACAGATTGGTCATTTCATAAGACTTGAAGTTCTCTGTTTAACTTTCACAACTATCAATTAACATACTACGGGAGAAAAACTAAGATAAGGATGGCTTTGAGTAATAGGACTTGGTATATTGAAGTCAGTTATTTGCTAAAAAAATCGAAGACATTTTCATTTTTGATACCTGATTCCTTCACATATACATTTTCATTCTATTTTTGAACTGTATTCGTAATGTTCAGTCACTCGCACTGTTATTGCTACTACAATTGTTCCGACACTTTTGGTATTCATCCTGTTATGTTGATATGGTACAGCGGCTTGGATTAATGCATATTTGCGCCGAGCTGTACGTTGATTATGACTGACTTAATATGAATGCTAAATTTCAAACGACACAATATGTAAATGAGTGCGGAACACAACTTCAGATAATAGTAAGCTAACGATAGAGATATCATCAACGCAAAGTAAATTGAAACGATCTACTCAACATACTGCTTTATTGCTTATTCCTTCGATAAGGAAACAGGCATTAAAAATCCAGCTGGTAGTTAGATTATATCAGAAAAATGGGGGGTGGACTATTTACTTTTAGTTTTAGAGACTGAATTGATGGTCACTTCAAATAGCCTTCAGTCACATTTAGATCACCCACCATCTCCAATTAGCCTGAATGGTAAGTTGAAATACGTCCTTCAACTCTTAGTGAGGTTGAAAAGGCGATTTAAGAGCAAAGGAGAGTAGCAGGTTCAGATGGATCAAATCCGATAGTCTTTAAGGAGTAGTCTATTTAGGCTTTATTATTGACCGAAATCTTGACTATAATCTGGGAATCGGACATAATACCATCTGCCTGGTCTTAATCGCGAAAAAAAACAAGTTTATACGAAAGGAAAAAAATTCTATTGTGACATTCATAGAGGAATTAGTTTGACAAATATAATATTTAAACTACTAGCATCAATAATAGTCCGACGCTTGAATACGGCTCGTGAGGAGCAAACTAGGGAAAACCAGGATGGTTTCAGACTTAGACATGGATGCTGTTTGGCAGATTCTAGATCACACGCATGCTGTCCGACGTCCAATTACGGTTGCATTCATTGACCTTAAAGTATCATTAAATCTCTTGATCGTGAGGTTCTGCGACACTGTCTGTCATTTAAAGACATACCAAAAAGTGTATTAACCTTGTACAGGCTCTTGACCTCAACACTACTGATCGAATCAATGATGAACTGTCATAGGAATCGATAAGTTGTGTATGTCAGGGTTGTCCGCCTTCCCTATTTTTATTTAACTTAGCCATCTTTTTAGAGATAACGCGCTTACGATCTGACTTTATTGAGTATCAAACCACTGCTCACTGAACTTACACATCATTGAAAAAAAGTATGCATAATCTTGCTTTACGATAAATGCACTAGATACAACTTCTAAAAATGCATTACATATAATGAATGAGTAACGCCTGTATAACTAAAAACAAACATCTTAAGAAGATATTCAAATTGGCTAATAAAAGTTATTTAGTTGCAAAAATAACGTCAACCTTAAAACTATCAGTAATTTTGTGGATGACCTTTAAGCGATAAAGTGGGGTGGAGAAATTTACAAGAATCAAAATACGGTTGTAAATTAATATTAGAAGATAGAGTTAGAGGTTGGAGTTAATAAGGTAGAATTAATGTATTCATCACACTAACATCAGCTATAATCCTGAAATGCTAATTACCTATATGAATGATTGAGCTTCGTACAAAAAACAACTGCTATCTTAAATCTGATTGGTTCATCCGCAAGTTATAGTCCTACTTTATTGAACATTCAGTCTGATAAATAATGTAGAAAAAACACACTGAATAAGAATTTATTACCAACGAATCCCCCATTGGATCTAATGTTCTCGATAACGGTGGTCCATCAGGCATTCTTTCTGGATGAGGTCGTGTTGGAGAAATACCTCTACCTTTTAATCCAATCATGCCAGTATTGTTACCATAATTTGGACTTAATGATTGACTTCGACCACCACCAGGCTGAGAATGAGTCAATGTACCACCACTGGGTGGACTATTCGATGTATTTGGCGTTGTTGCTGCTACTGATGAGGTTGATGAATCAATCCCAGTGGCAACATAAAAATTATTCACTTCTTCTGGATTTAAAACTGATCCGAAACGTCTTTGAAATTATAAAAAAGTAGATGAAAAGATTAGCACGGAAATATGGAACAAAATATATTTTGATATTGGTTTCATATTCATTTTGTCTACTAAACTTAATAGACTAATTACGGCAATATATGTATAGAAAGATCCAGTTCGCCGGCTATATTTGTGAACTTATTTAATCAGATAATAATTTGTGTACTTACATTTGAGCCACACTTAGTTGTGAGGGTTGTTTATCATATCTACTTGCCCAAACCCAAATAGATAGAGCGGGATCGGAACATGTGACTTAGTGGCTGACAATTGAGAGCAATAACCGATGGGCTACCGCTTCACTGGGATAGGAACAATGAGAATAGTTCAATTTGTCCTATACCTACTTCAGTAGATGATTCACCTAACTAATGCGCTGAAAGGTACATCTTCAAGATCCTGTCAAGTGTTTATATAGATCTGTAAGTGAATACCACAAAATATACACTTGACTAGTCAGAAGTAAATAATTTAAAAAACAAAGCTTCTTCAATGTATTGAATCACAAAAAGAAGTTAAGAGCGATCAAACTGTGACCTTTCTTAATTTCCGAATACAACCCATATCATTGTGAGTATATTGTGGTGTTTGTGATATTAAAACCCCCAAATTGCATCTACAACTGGAACTTACTTATTGTCTATGATAAGATGATAAGCAACTGACAATTGATCACTAGGATCATTGTTTAGTAAGGCAGCGAAAACTTCACGTTCTGTTGCATTGCACGCTTGACAAACTTCATAAACTGCTTCCTAAGTGAATCAAAGAAAATTATGAAAACATTGATTTTAATAATTCCTGATGAAAAGTATATAAATGATTAAAGCGACCATTGATCACAGAATAAAGCTTCGGAATCATTTAATAGTTGGATCCAACGTACTAAAAATAAGTCATATAAAGTTTAGTGCCGTTCTTCGGTTTGAAAAACTAGTTTGATAAACTAATGTACTGATTGGTCATGTGGTTAGTCGAATCCTACATATTGAGTTTGTAATATGATCAGAAAGCTAAGTGTCTTTTAGTACTAATGTATTTCATTTGATGCTTCGAAAGCTGTGACGAAGTTTCCGAGTATAGGATAGGACTACACCATCTCAAACCTTCGAGAGGAGATTTATTCCCTCAATCTTTCAGGAATATCCCGCTGAGTCCCAGGCATAACAACCGTCTTCAAACACTTAACTATGATAGTCAACCGGTTAAATAGAGCTACTGACTCTTTCTACCCATGTCACTATATTTTTCCTTGTCGCTGACCTGGTTTAACAACATCATTAGAACAGTGATAAACTTGTGTTTCTAAAGCGAAATGTTAACTGACAGCAATACGGTTAATTGTAACAAGTTGTCAGGTACTTGAGTATGAGCCACAGTTTAAGTGTGGGGTTTAGTAATACAAGCCGGTTGTCCGAACTGAAGTGGCTAGGTAGGGGTTTAAAGTAGTCTTAGTAGACGAAATTGTACAACTTAAACATTAACCCTCCGCTCCCAGATGAATTCGAACCCACGTCATCATCTTCACAATCTGACATGTTATCGCAGAGCTATTCAGACCGCGGCTAGCCTTCTGTACGTCTGGTATGCATTTAAAATTGATCACTGAATAGTAGACAATTTCAAGTTTATCTAAATCCCTTATAATGTTGGTCGGACTTTATCCGCCAATTAGCAGTGTGACCACTAGTTCAAGCGACTTGACATTCTTTTATTGTCCTCCTATAGAAACTGAACACAAACGAGTGGAAAGACAGCACTTTAAATATGAAGTCATATCCCGTATATTATTTAACTAATAAGTCGGTCACATGATGTCTGTCACAGCACTTTAGCAGTCGTGTGTTTATAGCCTTTCTAGGTAACGATGACTTCAGAAGAAACGGTTGCTAGAACTTAATAACGAATGTCACGAAACTAATACGATGTTTACAGTTGACAGGGACAAGACCATAAAACATAGAGTAAACCTCAAGTCAGCCAAGAAACATTAAAATATTTCAATGAGAAATAATTATAAACACTCAAACAAAACAGTAACCATAACTATTAATAAATTGATTCATATTAATCTTAAAAATTACAATATAAAGAAAATAACCAACTCTGATGTGCTTTCGTTTCAATACATAATACAAAAAATTGCAGAAGACATGATTTATAAAAGCATTACCTTGTCAATTATTGACGCATCTTCATCGCGTTCTTGAGGGAAAAGATGACTAGGAAGATCAACTGAGAACCACGGATGTCGTCTGATTTCTTCTATGGTTGCACGCTTGATCGGGTCCACAGTTATCATTCTTCGAAGAAGATCCCTGACCTGAACAAAAAAGTGATTATATATATATATATATATATATATATATATATATATATATATACTATTAGTTCACTATGAAATGCACTACTACTTCATCAATGACATATAGTTGCAGACTTTGGACACGCAATAGTTGATCTAAACTACAAGAGTTGTGCTTGTGGTGTACAACCTACAGCTAAAATATTTGTTAGCAAAAACTAAGACGAAATGAACTAGTGTGGATGAAGTCTGTCAAACTACTCTAAATAACCAGGCTCTTTTATCACTTTAAATAAGAAAGAAAGATTAGTTCAGCGAAGAGTTCTCTTTTCGGCGAATTCATTTTCAAAGCTGTACAATCGCAAATATATATACTTATTTTTACAGGGTGGTAATAATACTGATAATAAACTTGTGATATACATGGTGACAGTGAGGTTAAATAAACAAAGGTATTAGGAAGAATTTTTTTAAAAACAAGGAAAGTTTGATAGTTAATGGCTTAGATATTCATCGGGTAAGAGTAGCTCAGCATGATAAAATAACATAAAATGTTGAAACAGAGATGAAATGTGATCGGAATGATCGTTGAAATAAAAACAAACCGGTTGGGGGTACAAGATTTGAAGGGAAGATGGAAGGTGAAGCAGGTGGCTGTAAAAGAACAAGAGTAATGAGAAAGAGAAAAATTTTAATACATTAAGACCATGGTAAAAGAAGAGGTTGTACCAGTCTCTTTTGTACACATAATTCTGGTTTTTCAAAATGTATGGCTATTGCCTCGGCAATGCAAAGAAGATGTAGTCTAATTGTCTTAGGAAGGCTTCTACTTACCTTGTAGATGACTTTGAACGCAGAGTCTGTCTTGATTGAGTGACCTGTGTTCACAAGGTGTTCGATTATAGAACTTCTTATTGAGCCGCTGCCTCCTCTTCTTAGCCACGCCGGACAATGTTCTTGAATTCTTTTGGATAAAGTACGCATCGAACAACCTATATACCTAGCTCCACAAGAGCAGGTAAATTGGTAAATGCACATTGAATTGGTCAGATGCGATAATTTATCTTTCAGATTATTGGTGAACAGTGATCGGCTGGAGAATAATATTCGCAATGTTGCTGCGAAGAATGTTCTTTTTAAAGAATCTGAAATTCTCCTCTTTAAGACATATGCGGCTCTATCACCTTTGAAGTCGATGTTCATGTATAAAATTTTCTTTCCTACTGCAGTTGTTTGTGGTCTTGGCATTTTCGGTTTCATGTTCTTATCAACGAATATAGAAGGATATCCGTTTCTGATAAGTATCTCTTTTAAAAAACTCAATTCTTCCTCTACGACCTCGGGGCTACAGATTCTTCGTATTCTTGTGGCGAGAGTTATTATTAAGTTTCTTTTTCGGCTGATGGGAACCCAACTGTGGAAATTTGATAGTTGGCCATTCCACATGGGTTTCCTGTAGATAGATCTTTTTAAAGTACCATCTTGTTTCCTTGTTATATCTACATCAAGGAAGTGAATATTTTGTTTGCTTTCAACTTCAATTGTGAATTTTATTGATGGGCCAGTTTAGAAAACAACCAACTTAAAAAAATTATAGAAAACCTCCACTTATATAAAAGGTATATGGATGATATCTTTATCATTTGTGATAACAAATGTAACTTAAGTGATCTCCTAAATACATTTAATAATTGTCACCCATCAATAAAATTCACAATTGAAGTTGAAAGCAAACAAAATATTCACTTCCTTGATGTAGATATAACAAGGAAACAAGATGGTACTTTAAAAAGATCTATCTACAGGAAACCCATGTGGAATGGCCAACTATCAAATTTCCACAGTTGGGTTCCCATCAGCCGAAAAAGAAACTTAATAATAACTCTCGCCACAAGAATACGAAGAATCTGTAGCCCCGAGGTCGTAGAGGAAGAATTGAGTTTTTTAAAAGAGATACTTATCAGAAACGGATATCCTTCTATATTCGTTGATAAGAACATGAAACCGAAAATGCCAAGACCACAAACAACTGCAGTAGGAAAGAAAATTTTATACATGAACATCGACTTCAAAGGTGATAGAGCCGCATATGTCTTAAAGAGGAGAATTTCAGATTCTTTAAAAAGAACATTCTTCGCAGCAACATTGCGAATATTATTCTCCAGCCGATCACTGTTCACCAATAATCTGAAAGATAAATTATCGCATCTGACCAATTCAATGTGCATTTACCAATTTACCTGCTCTTGTGGAGCTAGGTATATAGGTTGTTCGATGCGTACTTTATCCAAAAGAATTCAAGAACATTGTCCGGCGTGGCTAAGAAGAGGAGGCAGCGGCTCAATAAGAAGTTCTATAATCGAACACCTTGTGAACACAGGTCACTCAATCAAGACAGACTCTGCGTTCAAAGTCATCTACAAGGTAAGTAGAAGCCTTCCTAAGACAATTAGACTACATCTTCTTTGCATTGCCGAGGCAATAGCCATACATTTTGAAAAACCAGAATTATGTGTACAAAAGAGACTGGTACAACCTCTTCTTTTACCATGGTCTTAATGTATTAAAATTTTTCTCTTTCTCATTACTCTTGTTCTTTTACAGCCACCTGCTTCACCTTCCATCTTCCCTTCAAATCTTGTACCCCCAACCGGTTTGTTTTTATTTCAACGATCATTCCGATCACATTTCATCTCTGTTTCAACATTTTATGTTATTTTATCATGCTGAGCTACTCTTACCCGATGAATATCTAAGCCATTAACTATCAAACTTTCCTTGTTTTTAAAAAAATTCTTCCTAATACCTTTGTTTATTTAACCTCACTGTCACCATGTATATCACAAGTTTATTATCAGTATTATTACCACCCTGTAAAAATAAGTATATATATTTGCGATTGTACAGCTTTGAAAATGAATTCGCCGAAAAGAGAACTCTTCGCTGAACTAATCTTTCTTTCTTATTTAATGTCATAATGGGTGTATTCTCTTTTATCACTATCACATGAATATTTTTAAGAAATCACCTATGATGCTTTAATTCCTGTTGTTTTATTCATATTCACTAGTTTGACAGGGGAGCAATCAGGAATACGATTTTCCTAACGTTCCTTTAGAAGACACGGGACGCAATAGATCTCAGATAAAGTTAACATGATCCAAACCTACCAGGCAAGACAGAAAGCAAAAGAATCTTTAAGTGAAGAATAAGGATGATAGTTTCCCAATTAAAAAAAACATACACTTACACCTGAACTCAAAGTTTCTGGCAAATGGAAATAGCCTGCTTTGATTTTTTTAAAAAGTGTAGGTATATGTTCATCATCAAAAGGAAGTGTGCCACATAGCAATGCATACAAAATTACTCCACAGGACCATACATCTACTTCCGGACCAGCATATAGCTTTCCAGATATTACTTCAGGGGCAGCATAGTTTGGGGATCCACAAGAAGTACGTAGAAACTCACCATCTTGCATTATATTGGACAATCCTGGAAAAAGGCGAATTTTTTATACATTATTCTGTTAGAACAGTACTGAACTTTGAAATTACTGAAGTTCTCTATACCGCCAAAACAAATTTCCAAAATACGGACAATTGCTATATGACTACTGTACAAACCTTAGTTAAATAGTATATCAACCAACAGCACTAAAACATTAGTCCAGCTTCTTAAAAAAGTATTTCTTAAACACATAGGTGTTGTTGCGAATGGAAACCAAAGCAAACATGTACCATACAACCAGGTCCTGTAATACAGCAATATATACCATAAAAATAATCATCCACAAGCTATATATAACCTGAAAGTACTAAGACATTTGACCTAAACCGTCGAGCCACGATTTCGTTTGAGGGACTGTATTCTATTTAGGCAGCGCTTTTTTGCTATCAAATCAATTCCTTGCAATCGCGTTGGATTAATGAACTAAACTGATTACCCTAAAAAATTACTGTAAACATACATGCAAATTTTAAAAAATCTGTTTTGGTGTACACGATTAAAATCAACCAAGGTTCAATCCACACACCAGATTTAAGATGGAGAGAAACGCAAACGAAGAACATAACTGTTGGTAACGAATACACCAGACTTGGTGGCAATATCAGGTAACACCACAATAAGGGACGTTCATAAGACAATTAGCTTAAAAAGGAAAGACAAACACCACTACATTTTACGCTAAAAAAAACCCCACTGAACAAGTAAATATCACAATACAGAACTATGACTGCAGCATTACAGGTAGAGTTGATCACAATCAAGCAAGAAATCGATGTTTAAAAGGTAGGTCTTTGAGCACCATTCATTAACGCAAACCTGAGAGATTACCAGAATAAAAACTCTAAGATCGATAACTGAAAGCATGACGCTTAAATCACCAAATCAGGAATTAAAAAGTATAACTGTCCCAATATCATCATGGTACAAACAAATTCCCGGTATACAACCAGTAGAATGGTAATGTCACCAAGTAGCCTGACTTGTTCGGCATAAGGTATTTCACTACCGGCAAACAAGCCCAGCGAAAAAACAATGACACTCGTCGGGTTATTAACATTATTTATGCTGTACGGAAAGTGAAATTACAGTCCACTAACCAAAGTCAGCAATCTTTACGTTCTGGTTTGAGTCCAGCAACAAATTTTCTGGCTTTAAATCTCTATGTACAACCTTATGACGATGACAGTAGGCGACTCCGGAAATTATTTGCTGAAAAAACTTTCTAGCGTCTTTCTCAGAGAGTCTTCCAGACTTCACTATGTAATCGAATAATTCCCCTCCACTGACATACTCCATTATCATAAATATGTCAGTTGGAGTACTAATGACTTGATACAACTTGATGATGTGGGGATGTCGGAAAAGCCAAAGATTGAGGATTTCGCGACGTAGTTTGCCGGCGACATCGAGAGCTTTGATTTTATCCCTGTTCACTATCTTTACAGCAACTTGCACACCAGTAGATTTATGAATTCCAACTTTGACTTTTCCGAAAGTTCCGACACCAAGTGTTTCTCCGATTATGTAGTTCCCAATACGAACCTCTGGGCTACATTTTGGGGTACCGCGTCTTCCATCCGCCATAGTTTGAAAATTGCTCCAACTATTAAGCTTTCTAGTTCCAATGTCTAACATGCGATGAGTAAACGAAAACTGATTTATTTCATTGTTCACACAACGCTCAGCATTCAAGTGGCGTTGCAGTAATAAAGTCTTATCAAACCTCAGTGTGTCACGAGCGATGTTGGATATCTTGCCTAATGAATGACAGTATTTAACCTGAAAAAAACCTGACTTGCTAAAATAAACTAGGTCTTCCAATACATAGACAGTCATCATAAAGTTTTAAAAAATTTTCCTCTTACAGATTTCTAAATCGTTGAAATTGTAACTGATGTTGATATTCGTTGTACCAGCGAATTAATTTGCATTAGTGCTTGAACAAACGTATGTGCGTGTCATCGTTCATTTATTAGTACTGGTTTCGTGGCTAAGCATAGTTAATTATAGCGTATCTCATTCTAAATTTGGAAGGCAGATGCTCCAGTCGCGGTAGATACATGTTTCCAATTTTAAAGAGCTTTTCACCGGGTTAGTGTCCTTAGAAGTCATGTCATGTCGGCCTAATGATTCATACACCACACGATCTTATCTCAGAGAGCCGAGAAGCTAATTATTCATACCGCCAGAGAAAACCATAATTATATACTACATTACATTCGAACGGGACATTTGATGCTCATATACTGAAAATATTTAACACTTATTGTTTTAGTGTACCTTCTTCACTTTTGCAGTAATCTGGATGACTCTCCTGGTCTCCCACATTGTGCGAACATTCCATGTACCCTAATTAGTGTTTGCTCTAGTTGCAAAAAGAAGCATCAGCCTCCGGACTTCCGAAAGAACTCTGCTTTAACCATGAGGCGTCATAACTCTTCTAAATGAAGAACTGTAGTGGCATTGGACCATAACCACACAATCCTCAGAGCTGAAAACGAGACAACTCGGAAAACAGATATTCAATATTTAACGCAGGGAACTACTTATCGATGGAGTGGGCGGGAAGAATGTGTTGAATGAGTTGGATTTGATATCTTCTATTCATATTAAATATATTGTTCTTTCTCTAGCCTAACCTTGTTCTACATCATGTATTGGTAATTGATATGATACAGCGAGTTGGTGTAGTCGATGGTGTGACTTCCCGTAAGATCTTATAGATTAGGCAGTTATATCATGACAAATCTACAATTTTAGGATTAGGTCTATTATTAAAGCAGTAGTAATATCATAGTAGACCATAATTCTACAGAACTTCTAACTCTCAGGGCAGGGTCTAGATGGTTTGAATTAAGTTATAATGTATGGAACAAAATGTTTTTCTTTTCCCAGTGTGCTACGATGGCGCGGTAATAAAACCGAACGGGATGAACGGGCTTATAATACCTCTGTATTGGACAATCGGACGATCCGCTTTGTACTGACTAAATCACGTTACATGAAAAACCCGAATTACAAGCAGCATTACATAACCAGAATAAATATACCATACTTTATTCCACACAATTACAAGCGTTCATTCTCAGTGAATCTGATCTAGCATACAATCAGTCATCAGTTGGAAGTTGAGTGCCTGCTTGTCCACACTTAGTGACTAGCCACACTTTCACTGACAAACATTGCTTATGTGGAAGCATAGTAATTCAAAAAGCTCAGACAAATTGCCAGTGTAACAATCTCAGTAATGAATTATATGCCGATGTTCAGCTTCAATTTAACGTTTATGTAAACCGCCGAAAACCCGTTGTTATACTTTTTCTCATTATCAGCTTTCGATAAGATAAAAATAGTAGTCCTAGATTCTATTTGTTATAGGCTTGACTCTAAATGATTCATTCATACCAGTCGGTATTGACATCAAGGAAGCTTTGTGTTGCTGATCGTTGTAGGCTTCGTGAATGTGAATTTCTGTGTGATAAAAATAACGATCGCACTTTCACAACCAGTCCCTCGTTATGTCTACATAAAGCATGTTTACATATTCTTTCCATGGTAGTAGATTCAGTGTTCTTTCGATTTGCGGCTTACTTATCGATAAATGTGTTGTAGGACGAATGAAATGTCCTAGCCCTAGCCAATTCATCCGACAGTTGGGCCACTGAATATCGGATAGATTATCAATCCCTGTCAAAATCAAAGACAACCAACGCGCATCAATTAATCGCATGTCATGGACTGGCTAATGCGGTGGTGATCTCACTAACTCGAGTAGGTCAACAATCATTCAACGTAGATCATCAACGTTGATGATCTACAGTAGAACCAGAAAGAAAATACTTATTGGTAGTATATTCCACTATTCCATAAAATATACCTACTTGATCTACTTTCAAGTCACCTTCATTAAAACTTCGTAATTAAAGATAGTCAGTCATACATCTTTTTATTACACAGATAGTTATGAACCGAATAGCAAGCCAAAATCTCCAACTTCCTTTTATTTTTGTAGTATTCGGGTAACTGGTTTTCATCATATATGCCTTGTTTTGTGCAAACGAACACAAACTACTCTATCAATCTCTGCCTAGCACCTTTTAGCTTACCTTGTATCCAAAGGAGCATGTAGTAACAACTCATTTACAACGTTCGCCCGGCGTTTCTGTGCTCGACATTGACTCACACAGTGTAAGAGTTAACTATAAACATTAGAAAATAACAAAGAAGCTACATGATTCCTCCAATCCACGATACTATGGCGGATCTAAATTTTCAGGATACATTCGATTACAACTTCACTGCTAGCGGATTTGGATGCCGATCAACGTAATAGATTTGCAAATACAAAACCTTGAGCTGTTGAACAACAGATGGATACGAATGATGTACGTATTCTCTATATTATTACTTAGTGGTACTACAGCCAATTAAAAGGACTCTTAACAGTACTAACGTTCGGCTCATCAAAAAGATCGCGAAGTGTGGTTAGGCCTACTGTATTTGAGATGAAGTTTAATTCCATATCAGTAGTCCCCAGTGTGTGACTGGTAAACCTTCGTTGAAAGCAGAGAATAAGATTATCTCCTAAAAGTTCGCTAATTTAACGTTTATTATGCGTGATAACATGCCGTACGATCTGCAACGACCTCGCATGCGTAGAATACGATTTTGAAAGCCTTCATTGAGATCATCCTAAATTTGAACTTGCGTTGTCAACAGACCTAATGGTTCACCTTAACATGTCAAGACACTCGGTGACATTAATTAAATGGAGTACCTAGTTCATGAAGAAGACCTCGTAGTTTCAATGGGCAAAGACATCTTAATAGTGATAAAAGTATTCATAAAACTTTCGTCAATATAGAAAACAAAAGTATTATAGTCCTATCATGGGTAATAAACAAAGTGAATAAGACCCACATACACTTCGAGGTTCTAGGTCTTACTCACCAGAACCCTAGCCACGGTCATTGAGACTTGGTTTAAGTACCAACTAATAATAAAACCTTGAAATATGAAGGCCCCAACTGTGGACCGCGTGGGTGGCTACTCTAATTTCTACTGACTGACCAACTTCAGATATTTCAGTACGACTCCAATACGGTTCCCCAATCTCCAATATATCAGAACACGAACCGTAGATGGAATTGTTTATGAGGTCAGGAGAAGAATAAGAATAGGACTAATACTTTATAGACAAATGCATATTTATACAGTTAGGACTACCATAAATACTGACCAATAGGAAAATGACATCTTTTCACGTTCAAGAACAGCATTAGAGTTAACAGGATAATTTTTGAGATATTTTACTGAATATCTCAACAGCACCTCGATCAAGCTGTTAAGCACACCACGACAGCTACAGACGATCCACAAACAGTCCATCTGAAGAAACTCCAAAAGTGACAAATCTCAAAAATGAAAAAAAGCCTATGCTTATCACCATCACTGGATTGCTGGAATACAAGTAATCCGAAAGAACATTTGTTACCAGTTTAACTATACAGGAAGTAGTATAAAAAGGTTTGTCGACATGACTGAATACTAAACACCTACATAGAAAGCATTATAGTTCATCAGTGCTTTTACTGACGTGTTAGATTTGGTAACGCTGCGTTTCCTGTGAACAAATGTTAATTAAAGCCAAAAACCGAGACTGAACTAGTAGTATAATTGCCATTTGTTTAGTAAGCTACAAATAGCAAGTGAACCTTTAAATGTTTATGTAATAAGTATGTGGATCACCTAGATTATAAGGAGTGAAAATCAATGACGGCACCTTAATTTGAAGTTCTCATATGATTATCAAATTAGTAGAAACATAACAGTTTCCATGTATTATCATTCATACGGATATAAATTTATAACATGGTAAAACACTGTACTGAAATCTCCAGTCACAACCACCAAAGTGATTAGTAGTTCCTTTCTAATTTACGCCGTCGGATTTCGTACCACATAAATCTGACTCGGAGCGTAATACGACAATGCTTTACTAAGAGTATTTCTTCAACTAAATAACCCACAAGGAAACCGACGATTGAATCATATCTTCAACCGTCTATAATCCATAAAAACAATAAAAATGTACAATGAGTCAAATCTAAAGATGAGTTTCACAAAATACAACATAAAAATACTGTAATGTTATTCAGCGGGTAATAATAAACTCTTTGATTTTCATAACATATGGCGACAAACGTCAGTAAAAATGACTTATTAAAATCAAAAGAAATATACATGATTTGTCAAAATTTAATCGGTGAAGTCACATAGAAGTATTTAAATGCATAGAAAAAGAGGAATATCCTAAAGTCTCGTAGAAACTGAGGCACATACTAGCCACTTTTATCACTAGATTCACACTGAATAAATAAATTTTTCCGCAATGAACACAGCTCTTTGACCCACTTTTGACCCAAACTTGTGCTAAATGTTCCTTTAAAAATTAATCACATTTGAGGGAAAAAGAAAATCAGAATAGTGTAAATATTATTTACCTAGAGTACTTTCGAAAAATGATTCTAATTTTCCTGGTTCAAGAGTTTCATGTTCATATTCATAAGCCTGCAAGAGCATCTCAAATCTGTTAAAA